GTGGGAGATGCGGGAAGAGACTGCACAAAAATTGTGCACCTATGGATGAGGACAGTGGGTGGGGAGTGAGGGTGGAGGGTGGGGTGGGAACTGGGAGGAGGGGAGTTATGGGGGGAAAAAAGAGGAACAAATGTAATAATCTGAACAATAAAGATTTAATTAAAAAATAAAAAATAAAAATAAATTAAGAAAAGAATCCCCAGATTATGAACAATGGAATCAGTTGAGGTTAACTGCACAGTTCCAATAACGAGGTTACAGACTAATGCAGTGTCAGTGGACTGAAGTGGTAGCAGCAAATAAAGGCTCAGAAGTGAAAGAAAACTATAAAATTATGTCTATGCCCCCATCTCTTGTGATTGATTCAAATCTTAAAGGAATAAACAAAACACAAGTTTTTAGGCAGTGTACCAAGGTGTGACCCTAAATCGCACAACTCTAATAGGTGAGTATTACTACCTTTGGAAGCCATACCATAAAGCCCAGAAGCACAGTTACCAAGCTTCAATACCAGATCTAACTACGAAGCCTGTACTTTAAACCTCTAGGTCACACATGGGTGCAATCAGCAATATCCTCTAAAACAGTGGTTCTCAACCTGTGGGTCACAACCCCTTTGGGGGTCGAATGACCCTTTCACAGAGGTCGCCTAAGACCATCGGAAAACACATATCCTATATAATAAAAGACTAATATGCAAATAGACCAAAAGGCGGAACAACTGAACAACCAGTTGCTATGACATGCGCTGACCACCAGGGGGTGTGGGCGGAACATGGCGGGCATTGGCTGCGGCAGGATGGTGGAGCAGGTGAGAGGGGGTGCCAGACCAAAGAGTGGTGCCGGTCGCTGTCATCCAGGCAAGCCTCTGGTGGTTACTGAAAATTCTTTGCTCCCATGTGCCACAGTTCTGCCCGGTGCTCACACCTGCTGCCAGCGCCAGCTCCACTCATACCTGCTACTGGCGCTGGAGCTGCCGCTCACACCCGCTGCTGGTGCCTAGCACTGGCCCTGACTGCTCAGCGCCATCAGCGGGTGTGAGCAGTGGGTGTGAGCAGCGGCTGCCACCCCAATCACCCCTAAGGGCTTCACCTCCCGCTGCTCCTGAGGGGTTCTCGGGCAGTAGCTGCTGCTCGCACCCAGGTGCAAGTGGGCCAGCACCATCAGCATGTGGGAGCAGAAGCAGCAGGAGCAGGGCTGCCAGCAGACAGGGGACCTGGAGCCGCAGCCAGAGGGGCTGGGTGGGGGTGCGGAGGATGGGCCGAGATCCACCCCTGTGCCCACCGCAGCCTCATGGCCCACAGTTCCTTTTAAGGTGCATGAATTCATGCACTGAGCCCCTAGCTGAATATATAATTACATATTGTTTTTGTGATTAATCACTATGCTTTATGTTCAATTTGTAACAATGAAAATACATCCTGCATATCAGATATTTACATTACAATTCATAACAGTAGCAAAATTACAGTTATGAAGTAGCAACGAAAATAATTTTATAGTTGGGGGTCACCACAACATGAGGAACTGTATTAAAGGGTCGTGGCATTAGGAAGGTTGAGAACCACTGCTCTAAAAGGAAAGCAACTTGTTCTGATTACCTCCTGTGTGCCACATGTGAAACAGGGGTCTTCACACATCACTACTTTTACCTCCAAAGTAAACAAAAAATTTACTTATTAAGAAACATATGACAGTGAAAACTTGTTATACTTACCCTAACAACATACTGATAAATTATCACAAGACTGACGGCCATGGAAATGTTGGCAAGGAATGAGAGCATGAACAGATTCTTCAGCTCACGAATGAAGACCAAGAGAATTAAAAATGGAAGAAAGCAAAGCATATATATCCTTAGGTCAATACTTCTTCTCTCACATGGATTTGATGAATTGGTGCTATTCAAAACAAGCGCTTTACTCTCCAGGAATCCTTCATGAACCTACACAGGATTATTAAGAGAATAAGAGAGAGGATGGGAAAAAATTTCCATCAACTTATAGTCATAAAAGAAACTTATGATCTATACACTGAGTGATAAATTCCTTTACAATATTTACATTTTAAAAGATGCTCTAGTTTCCCAGAAATATATATATTAAATTTAAGGATATTAAAATAGGACACTCTTCTTTGCAAAATAATTTTTACCATACTGTGAACAGAAAAATGACTAGAAAATGATGAGGGTAGATTTACTAACTCATTTTGAAGTTTTATGACTAACCATGATGCTTCATTATCCTGCAAAGGCTTAATCTGTTTCTGAGACCATCAGAAGAGGAGGCTTATTGTCTAGAACGGCCACTGGTAGGCCACTTCAGCTTACTTTCTTCACAGCAGAAATCTCCAAGTGCCTCTTAGAAATGTACAGTAGCCCAAATAAAATTTAGAAATCATAGTAGATTTAAAACTGTTGTAAAAATCAATTGTTTTTACATGATCATCATATCCATAAGTATTTATTAAGAATCCACTAAATTCATGCATGGCCATATGTTAGACAGTAGATAAATTTTTGGTAAAGAAAAAACCTTCTTTAAGATAAGTCAACTTTACCTTAAAATTTATTCAGCCACTTTTATAAACTAATAATCCGTTTTCAAGAGATACAATGATTTATAGGATCCATGTATTAAAATGTGTCTTTGATTCAATTAATCACATAACCCAACTCACTAATATAGTAATGAAATGACAGAGAACTTTAAAAACAATTTTAAAAATTCACAGCAGAGATTGATCTTACCATAATTTAAAAACCAGTGAAAAGCAATTTGCCCCCAACACTGTACCCTCTTTTGAGCATAACTTATCAAGTTTCTGAATACATAAAATTTCAAGAACCAGATTCTATACTAATAAATAGCAAGTATTTTTATTTATTTATTTTTTAAATATACTTATAATTAATACTGATTTCAGAGAGGAAGGGAGATGGAGAGAGAGAGAAACATCAATGATGAGAGAGAATCATTGATCGGATGGATGCCTCCTGCACATCCCCTACTGGAGATAGAGCCTTCAACCCAGGCATATGCCCTTGGCTAGAATCGAACCTGGGACCCCTCAGTCTGCAGAATGAAGCTCTATCCACTGAGCCAAGCCAGCTAGGGCGAAGAGCAAGTATTTTTAATAGAGTACTTTCTATGTATCTATACAGCATCTCATTTAATTCTCAAGACAGCTCTCTGAGGTGGGTGATAGTATTAACTTCAATTTATAGTTGAGGAAACTGAGGTTTATGGAGGGTTAAAAAAAGCTTACATAATTTCAAGTCAGTAAGTGTTGGTTGGAGAATTCAAACCTAGGCTTGAGATTCCAGAATCTAGCTTGTAAGAGCTACATGTTGACCTGATAAAATACTGCCGCCCTGCCCAAGTAGCCACCTGGCTTCCCCTCCAACATCTCTCTCTCTACATAGATTAAGTATTAACAGGCCAACAAATCAGAAGTTCAGAACAGATTCTCATGTGATTAACAATTCAAGTGTTAACTTTAATTTTATACTTAATAATCCACATACAGTTTCACACATCTGTATAGCAAAATGTACAAATCATCTTCAACTGCAGGGAATATATCTACTAGTTTTAAATTACATAGGCAATTTCTTACTCATACTGGACTGTCAGGTTACACCATGCACCATGTAAGAAATGTATAGCTTACATTAACCTTGTAAGTGGCCATCAAAACTTTGTATTTTATTTTCTATCATTTGAAATAGAAGCTAAACTGGTAATCACAATACTTGGCTCTTAAGAAGACATTTTATTTGTTGACTCAATTTTCTCAGTAGCCAAATTATTTGGAGCCAAATACTTTTGCATCAAAGAAGTAACTCCAATAATCAGATTAGATATTGATCAAAGTTAGGTGCTAACAAGGATAGCTAGCAAGAGAAAAGCAGTTACATAACCAATTTTAAAAATGGTTTTTTGAATCATGAGGTGCTTGGGAATCTGAAATTAATTCTATCACAAATATCTTATAATTTAGTATTCTTTGGCAGAACAATGATTATAAAAATTTTCAGGATTAAAAAATAAAAGTATAGATACATACCTAGAGCAAGATTCAGGTAAACATTTGAGTCCTTTGGTGCCCTCTAGAGACAGAGATTGGCTATCTAATAGGACTTCCTATGATCTCACATGTTTACCAAAATGCAAAACACTGAAATAAATATTATAAAATAAAATTACTAAATTCAGTTGTTTCCAGTTAGAGCTCAAATTGACTAAAAATCACTACTTATTAACTTTTTTTTCAATTATTCAGTAATCTAATGGTTAAAATTCCAAAGCAGGTTATGTTTTTCAGCAAAGCTAAAATCAAAATCAAAGCCATAATACCCTACATTTGTATGCTGCTCGACAGTTTACAAAGGCTTTCACAACCCTTTTGTCAGCTGAACCTCACAATAAGGGAACAAGGGGAGCTTTTATTACTATTCCCATTTTACAAACAAGGAAACTGAGACTTGAGTAGGGATAAGGGGATCTTGCCCAATAAGTGCGTTAAAACTGAGAGAGTAGGGATTTGAATTCAGATCTTTTGACTCTAAAGTCCATACCAAATCTTTTTTTTTAAATCTAATATCCCTTCCCAACTCTTCATTTCTCATAAGGCCCATATATACTATTTCATCTCTCTGAAATGTTCTAGAGCAGTGGTTCCCAAACTTATTTGGCCTACCGCCCCCTTTCCAGAAAAAATATTACTCAGCACCTCCTGGAAATTATTTTTTTTTGAATTTTAATAGCAATTAAACAGAAAGATATATGTATTAATGTTTCTACCTTTTTCGTAAAATATAGTAAAGAGAGGTGTAAATTAGAAACATTGAAGTTTGAAATTATGAAACTATTTATTGAACTCAGAATAGAAAGGTAATACAAAAAAAGTTAAAACAAATGCACCTGTGGCCATCACCGCCCCCCTGGATCGCTGCAGCGCCCACCAGGGGGCGGTAGCGCCCACTTTGGGAATCACTGTTCTAGAGTATCTTAGAGTAAGAACCAAGAGGAGCTATAACTACAATGGACTAAATCATGGGGAGCACTATGGCTTTTTCACCTCCCAATTGTCCACAGTGGTGTAATGAGACAGCCATATGGCAGCTGCAGAGCAAGAGTTTCACACATCTGTATAGCAACTAAACCCTTCTTTAGTTTGATGAAATACTACACTTTCAATTTTATGTGGATTAAGGCGGTAATAATCTTACCGTTTTTAACTGTAACAGTAATAGTAATTGGTAAGGTTTGATCAACCTGTGTGTTGGTAAAGTTTGATCAAACTACCACAGACTGCTATCAGATGTGAGAGAGCGCCTCTGGAGAGTGGAAATCTCTGATGCTGCTGTTTCAGTGACCAGCTGTCTGCTGTGCCAAGGGGACATGTTCATCATTCCTTTCCATTTTTCTCAAGTTTCAATGTCTTTTCTTTTTCCATGTTGCCCTTTATTTCTCACAAGGCCTTTCATCTTTCTATCCATAACAGGCATTCCTCTTACCTCCCAGAGCATCACTTTTCTACCTGGTGTTCTAGCACTCATGCAAATGAGTTAAATTCTTCTATTTACCTTTGGAAGCAACTGATAGTATTTTGTAGGAGAACGTCACCAATCCTAAGCTTCAGATATTCATTTTATGTACTTTATATACTCTTTATGTCACACACACACACTCACAACTAAAATCAGACAGTGTTCTGTCCAGTGATGAGCAATGAATATACTGGGTGGCAGCTGTGTCAGACTTAAATTTCAACCTAATTTATATGACTTAGGGCACATTACTCACATATGGCAAGACTCAGTTTCCTCATTCATAAAATGAGCATAGTATTTACATTACATTACCGAGTAGTTGTAAAGATTAAATGATATGTCATAGCTTATAAATATAAAATTATAAGGCATCATTAGCATTATTCATAAACTCAAATCAAGCTTTTTGGTTGCTCTCTTAGGAGTTAATAAAAAAGATACAGTATACTACCATGTTGCACAATCCTAGAAAGGCATCATTTCCATTGTGTTCTACATAAATGATTGGTAAGATGATAGGTCTTATCAGTTCTTGACAATAAATAGCCTCTCAACTGAGTTAGTAGTCCTAGAAAATTACAACTTGTGAAGTTAACTACTTGCAAAATTAAAAGTACATCATCTATAATGAGTAATGCTAATGAAAGCATCAATTCTCTCTTTTATAAAAGGGGGTTTGATTCAATAAGTCTTTCCAACAATAGAAATCTAAGCCAGTGGCTTTAGCAAACTGTGGCCCAAAGACTAAATCCAGCCTATTTTTGGAAATACAATTTTATTGAAATACAGCCATACCTATTTGCTTATGTAGTGTTGTTTACGGCTGAATTGAGACAAAGGCCATATGGCCAGCAACACTGAAACACTGAAAATACTTATTATCTGGCCTTTTACAGAAAAGTTTGCCAATCCTTGGTCTAAATATAAAATATTCTTTTTTTTTTTTGGTGGTTTACTGTTTATTATTCTGTTCCTCCCCAGTTCCTCCTGCACATAGGGGGATCAAAATGTTAATGAAAAGATTCGTTATGATTTGGTATATGAAGTAAATCTTCTCTTCCATCCCACTTGCTTACTTATACTGTATGACACATTTATCAGTTCTTTTCTTTTTTTTTTTTTAGCAATAAAAAAATAAATAAAATAAAAAATAAAGTATTCTTTATAGTTAGAAAAATGAGTCAGATATACTTATATGTATACATACGGGTTCTTTAGAAAACAGTCACATTATAATTTTGCATTAAAATACCTAGAAGACAAGTACTACATATTACTATGTAAAATGCCTAGTATTGCACCATACACATGTGAATAATAAATTCTATTAATTAAAATAAAGAAAGAGCAGGGTGTAATGTAGGAATAATAAAGGCAAACTACCAGTGGAAGCACATAAAGCAATGTGCTCTGTCACTGTTTTGATAGAGGAGCTTTTTTATTTCAGTGCTTTGCATATTTGTTCAAATTGACAGTCTCTATTAAGACTGCAAACCACTTCCTCTTAGAGCAAATATTTACATATGGAGAAAATTAAAGAACACTGTACACCCCTGGACATAGCATCTTTTTAGACTATGGCAATAACTGTTGCATTTTAGTAATGTCCACTTTTGTACTTCACTCTTTAGGCCGCTGGCTAACGCCTTATATATGTCTTTATAAAACATCAACGTAAAGAATATGCTCCCGAACATCTGTGTACCTAAAATTTGAGTAGCTAAGACTCAGTAAATTATGTCCTGTTCTGATCCAAACGAACAAGCATTATTGATATAATGATGAGAAAAGTAAGATCAGCAATAGCAGAAATCCAACTAAAGAAAAATCTACGAAGAAACATAATTAATGAAAGAAACACATTTGCATATTTGGCCATGGCTTACTCAGAGGAAACATGATGCTATAATTATGGCATTGGAAGAAAATGATTTCAATAACTGGAGAAAAATACTTACTTGTTTCACATTTTCAGCTAAGAAGACAATATAAACACTACAGAATCCCAGCTGTGTTATCACCAGAAAAAAGTCAACCACACTCCTAAAAAGACAAACCCACAAATGAGTATTAATAAGAGCTGCTGAAATATCAATATATATTTTCTTTTTAACTACTTAAAAACATTGTAATAGTCTATATTCTTTTCCACATCCTTAAAATAAAAATTAAAATATTTATTTTCTACAAAAACCATACTGTTATGATCAGTATATCACTACAATTATTATTGAGCAAAAGAATGTTTCATTAAGTTAAAAGGCCAAAATTTTCCCATCACTTATTTCTGAAATTCAACAGTTTGTGAGTATATACTTATAAAATAATTTAATGAAAACATTTTTTCTTTTAGATTAAGCACAACTCTTCTACTTCTCAAGATATTTTTCAGATTAATCCAGTGTATTTCCCAAGCCTCCCAGCTTCATGTCATTTGCAAATATGATGAGCATACTCTCTACTATCTAATATGGAATAGGAGAGGACTAAGGGCATGGCCTGAATCATGCCATTGGAGACCTCTTCAATAGCTTAGCTCTGTTCTTATTTTCTAAAGAGATAATCTATAAAATTCCAGCTACATAAAATAGCGTAGGAGGAAGGGAAAGGGATATCACCAAATTAGCATTCTTTGGGTATGGCAGTTGATCAAGTCACAAATTTATCTACATGTTAATATATAGCCCACACTTCTCAATCTTTTTCATCCTTACTCGAGGATATTTTTATTGATTTTAGAGAGAGAATGGGGGGCGGGGGACATCAATGTAGGAGAGAAACATCAATCAGTTGCCTCCTGTATGTGCCCCAACTGGGGATCAAACTGGCAACTTAAGTATGTATCCTGAGCAGAATTCAAACCCACAACCTTTTTGGTGTACAGGACAACACTCAACCAACTGAACCACTAGGCCAGGCAATATTCTCAATTTTGTTCTGGGAACAATAAGTGACTACAATAGCATGCACCTATTAATTCACTATAGTCTCTCATCTGACCATCAATGTCAAGCTGCCAAATAATCTGGTCTACCAATCTACAGACCCTCCTTCTGCCATTTGAAACTAAAAAAGTCCTTTCCTATATCTTCATTCTGGCCCTATCTCTACAGTTCTCCATGGTTCTTCAGGTACCTCTTTTGGAAGTATTCTTGGTACCCTGAAATGAATTCAAGTTTCTTCTCTCTGATGAATTAATTTAAGTATTCCCCTTAAGGTCTCTTCATTCATCTTTGACTTTAGTATCCCACCAATAATCATTCCAACCACTTCTATGTGAAGCCATTCTTTTGATAGAAAAAACAGACACAGCTGCCTCTGGACTGGAGCAGGAGGAAGAAGATACGATTATTGGGGCAAATCCGTGGGGCCTGAAACTGTTTTCTTCCTTTTCCTACTCAGCATATCAAGAACTCTCAGCAGCTCATAAATACATCTAAACTCCTAAAAATCCCTAGAAAGGCCACATTTAACCATAAGCCATTAACACTATTCTTTTTCTTCTTTTAATTTTCATTGCACATATCATTTGTACCACACTCAGCATTCTGTTGATCACCTATGCTTATTTTTCCAGGGCTGTATTCATCTCACTTTGATTAACGATGTCCACCAATGATAGAGTTATATTTAACCAATAAGATAAGAATATCCTAAAATGCATACTTCAGATGTCTTCTAAGCATGTAGCTAAACAGCATAATTTTCTTTGAAATAATGAGATCACAACTTTTTTCTTTTCCTTGAAAAGTGATTGAACATGATTATATCATACTAGAGGCCCGATGCATGAAATTCATGCAAGAGTAGGCCTTCCTTCCCCCAGCTGCCAGCACCGGCTTCCCTCGCAGCCCCGGCTTAATCTGGAAGGACATCTGGTCTAATTAGCATATTATGCTTTTATTAGTATAGAAGTTTGCCAGGTGCTTCATAAATATTATTTAAACTACTGTAGTAAGCTTGTGAAGCAAGTATTATTATAAACTCATTTGATAGTGAGAAAACTAAAACAAAATAATTTGTCCAGGGTCATAAAATTGAAAAATGGCCAAAACCGGTTTGGCTCAGTGGATAGAGCGTCGGCCTGCGGACTGAGGGTCCCGGGTTCGATTCCGGTCAAGGGCATGTACCTGGGTTGCGGGCACATCCCCAGTAGGAGATGTGCAGGAGGCAGCTGGTAGATGTTTCTCTCTCATCGATGTTTCTGACTATCTCTCTCCCTTCCTCGCTGTAAAAAATCAATAAAATATATTTTTTTAAAAAATTGAAAAATGGTAGAGTTGAGATCTGATCCCAAGTCTGTCTAACTTTAAGATTATGTTTACTCCCCCAACGTTAGCATACTTTTATTCATGTATAAATTAACAGCATTTATAGGTTAAAGTACTTAAAATTCATGTAATTTCAATAACCAGACATTAATAATATAGCAAGCACTTACCGTCCCCATGCTGCTTGCTTCTGAAGACAACTCCAAGGACTTACTTCCATAGCAAAGCTCACAGTGTCACTATAGCCTAATGTTGACTTTTTAAACCTGTAAGTTAATGACATACATGTGAAAAAAAATTCCAGTAGGTTCATAAATCCTTCCCTTTAAAAGACATCAAATAAATGGGAATTAATGACTATAGGGCTATTCCCTTACAGTTTTTTTGAAATTTCAAGATCTGCATAAAGTATGTCTCATGAAATTTAAAAATTTTATCTGTCCTTATTACCAATATATTAGTTTTATCTACTGTTGAAGTTTATATATTTGTAGAATTCATATAACAATAGTTGTGCTTCACGGATTTAAATATTTCAATTACCTAAAAACACTGTTCATGCTTAAATTATTCCATTCTTAGAATAGCATTACTTAATACATCTGTACAGGGCTTTACAATATATTTTCACATAACTTATCTTCTTTAATCCTCAAAGTAGCCCCATGAGGTAGGTATTATTTCCTCTTTCCCACTTTTCTTTCAAGTATACATTGTTATTTAAAAATTATAAATGACTTGCCCACAGTTTTAAGAACATTTAAAACAACAAGAGTTAAAGATTAGAATATTAGTTTACTATTCCTAGCCAGTTTGGCTCAGTCAAGGGCCATGTTGTAGGCTCAATCCACAGCCCCATTAGGGCACGTGCAGGAGACAAGCAATCGACATGTCACTTTCACATCAATGTTTCTCTCTGTGTGTCTCTCCCTGTACCTTCCAATCTCTCTAAAAAATAATCAATGGAAAAATACCCTTGGGTGAGGATTAACAAGAATAACAAAGAATTTTAGTTTACTAGAATAGACAATATTTATTTCTTAAAAGTGGTCCATTGTAAAGTAGAAGTATTTCATGATAAAAGATAAAGAAAAAAGAATATTTTATGGACTATCTACCAATCCACATATCAGCAAAGAACACTAAAGTCACTATACCCCAAACTGAATTACTAACAAATTGGAGATCATTACACTATAACTAAAAACAGTACTGCTTCCTCCATTTCCCCATATATCTTTCCTGATTTTCTCATTTACACTAAATAAAAGAAACCATTCTACGACTGATAGGGCAATATATTTATTTAATTTATTTTGAGAGAGAGAGAGAAAGAGAGAAACATCAATTTGTTGTTCCACTTATTTATGCATTCATTGATTGCTTCTTGTATGTGCCCTGACTGGAAATTGAACCTGCAACCTTGGTGTGTCAGGATGACACTGTAACTAACTGAGCTACCCAGCTAAGGCCAATAAGGCTATATTTCACTTTATCATTTTTTGTTAATCATCACCCGAAGATATTTTTTCCACTGATAATTAGAGAGAGTGGAAGGGAAAGAAGGAAGGGGAGGGAGGAGAGGGAGGGGGAGGAAAAAGGAAAGGAGATGGGGAGAGAGAGCATAAGAAATAGAAACAACGATGTGAGAGAGACACATTGATTGGTTGCCTCCTACAAGAGCCCCAACCAGGGCTGGGGATCGAACCTACAACCCAGGTACATGTCCTTGAAATCGGGTCCACAAGCCTTTGGTGCATGGGCCTTTGCTCTAACCACTATACAACATGGGCTAGAGCAAGGCTATATTTTAAAATAAGTAAATATATACTGACCAGATTTCAACCATATGAAATGCTACCATTTTCCAAATTCATTATCTTAAACTTGTCTATATAACAGATTACAGAAAATACAACTGCTAGTTGCAAAGCAGTGTAGAAATGTAAGACTATCTATTGCTTTAAATAATTACACAGCTTCAAAATAAATAGACTTAATGAATCCACATTTACCTCTGACAGAGAAAGTGACTGCAACGCACCAAAATGTGCATACAGTGAACAGAAATAATTCCTATAAACACAAGGCTGATTGGTCCAAGCTGTAGGGGAAAAATTATAAGGTTGACATATTTAAGTTTAACAAAATTTAAGTTGCCTTATAAGCAATAAGACAAAAAACTATGCATTTGCCAATAAATATTTGTTGGACAAAATGATTAAATATTTTTAATGGGAAAACTAATAAACTGGATATAGGAAGAATTCCAGTAATACTTAAATTACCACATATAATTCCATCTTATCAACTTAGCTGTCTAAACCTATGAATACAGAGTACAGCTAGATATGCAACAAAGTAGGACGGAATACATATTATTTAACATGAGGCAGCAAGTCTATCACTACCAGTGCCCCACCAAAATAATTACATGCAACTATGAATCATTATCTAAATCAGCGGTCGCCAACCTTGCGGACCTCACAGACCACCAGTGGTACGCAGACCACCTGTTGGCGACTGCTGAATGACTAAAACAGCACTCTTATCAATCTGGCATTGTGGGCAATCCATTTCTTCTACAGACCGCTTATTGAGCACTTACTATGTGTGAGGAACTGTGCCTAGAAAATAATTACTTGAAAAAATGGTACATAAACTTCAAGTATTTATTACTAAAATTAAAGTTATTCTTGGGTTGCTGAGACACAGACAAAATATTGCCAAAGTTCATTTTATAATTAGAAAATTTAAGTTTCTCTAAATTAGAGTGAACAAAGTCAAATGCAGAGAAAGATGATATTAAAATTGTTTTTTAGAAAACTAGTCATTTAAAAAAGGGTTAAATATAATTTCATCACTTCTTAAGTGAATTCTCTCCTATCTAAAGTCTCTGCAACAACTATAATAATTGGTTCTAATACTTAAATATTTGTTTTCAAAACATGTTATTCCTTTTCTTAACTATTGTTCTTGAAATCTGAAAACTACATATTTTATTCTGAATCTAAAAAACTATAAGTTCACTAATACAAATAATCTTCTCTATAAATAAATGTGCTGACATGTGTACACTGCTTACTAGGAAAATCCAAGAATAATAAGATATTAAACATACCTGTAAACTCAAATACTAGTTTAGGATCTTTCTGTCAAATAATACATATTACTAATTAAGTAGAAATGAAAAGAGTAATTAACTGTCATTTTTGGTTAGATACTATTATCATAATTGGCATAACTTTATCAATACAATGGCTGAATGATTATTTGTCACCTGACCATGTTTTAGTTGACTAGGTCAGATGTTAATTTGTGGTAATCTTTGCTGTAAGTGAAGACTGATAGCTGTGAGTAACTACAGAGCACAATGATAAGTCTTACCACGATGCCTGCATTTTTTATGGCCAATGGAAGTCCTAAAAGGCCAGTTCCAATATTTCCTTTAAGAAGATGCATAAGAGTTTGTACAAATCTGAAAAGTAAAAGTTGTAGGATTTAAACATTTTAGAACAAAAGCTATTAAAATCACATGATCATGGTTTTAGCATTAGGAGATAACTAAAAATTAATCTAGGCAAGGAATCAACATTTCCATTCAACCAGAAGTTAAATGGGCCAGAAGTCATATTTGGTTCAAGTCCCATCTTTGCCATTTAAAAGTAAAATACAACTGACTGAATTTTTTAATAGTGGTTTTAATTTATTTTCCCAAAAAAAGAGTTCTCAACACTACCTAAGAACTTGACCAGAAAAATAAAATAAAGAATAAAAATACAATAAAAGTAAAATACCTAGGATTATTATGGAGGCTAAATGAGATATTTCAGTAAAATTATTTTTGTACATATCTATAATAATAAAAGCATAATATGCTAATTAGACCAGATGTCCTTCTGGATATCCTTCCTTCCAGACAAAGCCGCAGCAGGCGGGGGCCGGGGCCAAGGCCCTTGCACAAATTTCATGCATTGGGCCTCTAGTTAAACTAATAAAGAAAAGGTAATTTTTTCATAAGACTCTTAGCTGCTATAATATTCAGAACAATATTGAAGATTATATAGCTAGGTTGGTAAGATAGCAATTTACTGACATTGTCTATGTAATTATGGTACTAAACATATTTGATCTATGATCTATGATGAACATAAGAGGAAGTTAATTAAAAGAAAAAACATACAAGTTTTAAAACAATGTGTATCATCAGGTAAGATAAATACTGGTTAACTTTTAGACTATGAACTCCCTAAAGCAGTAGTAGGCAAACTGCAGCCCACGAGCCATATGTGGCTCTTTGGCCCCTTGAGTGTGGCCCTTCCACAAAATACCGACTTCTGTGCATGGGTCACGAAGTTTCAATTGCACTGTATGTGCGCACCCGCACGTGGTATTTTGTGGAAGAGCCACACTCAAGGGGCCAAAGAGCAGCATGTGGCTCGCGAGCCACAGTTTGCTGACCACTACCCTAAGGGGTTTCACTTAAGAAAAGTTTCCTCTTAACAGGCATTTGAAGGAGGTCTCTTGACCAAGAAAAAAATAAACTAGGAAGACTAGCACAAACTTTAAACTTGGGAAATAAAAATGCTTACAATTTTTTAGTTTATGCTATTCTTTTCTTATCAATTAAAACATTACTTTGCTAAATCATTAATTACTCCTAGAATAAGAACTCACTCAAATCTATTAATGATAAAATAAGAAAAGTTTTAAAAAGTTCAACTGCATAACGAAGGGTTTACTACCTACCTTCCACGATCTAACTCCTATTTCAGAAGTAACTTCTCTTAAAATTTATATCCTCTCAATCAGATCTTCCTTCAAGATCCATAACCTTTGATTTGTATCATCATTGGAGTAATTCCTATACACTACTCTGTAATTTAGATGTATTTTTTCTTTCCCAAATAGATTATCAACACCTTGAGGGCGGGAACTATGTCTTATTCATCTTTGTGTCTTCTGTACTATCTAGTAGGGCCCCTCGCCCATAGAAGATTACAAAGTATATACTGAATGAAAAGGAGACATGTAAACCATAACACTTACGAAATGCCCTCTTGATCATCAAGCTGGTAATGCTTCTGAACAGGTAGGAGCTCTTGCTCATGTTCTTCATCTGATGTCCCATCGAAATTCTGCTCATTTATTAAGGGCCTCATTACATCCATATCTTTAAAGAGAAAAACAAAGAACTCCACTATTATTTTTAAAAGTGGGATAAAGCTAGTATAAATTAATTTTTAAGTAGTATATACCACTGGTACTCACCTTTACTATTTCTACCGTAAGTTAATGCACATTAGTATCCTGAGTTTTAGTATATTTAAAAATAAACAACTAGACTCATTTGCTGGACATTTTGTTTGGACTAAGCAGTGCAAAATGAAAAGCATAAGTATTCAATGCAAAATGTTTTCTGCTTTGACTACATGAGGTTTACAGTAAAGGTCACAGAATTATGAAAAATGTGAAGAAATAACAAAATGAATTTTTATCTCGTTAGCTGCAAATCATACTATATATACAAGTAATCATATTTTTAAATACTTAAAATTATAAGTCCATTCCAACCATTACATTTTTAGAACCAAAATTTGCACTTATATATAGCAATTTTTAGCATGATTTTGCTCCTTTCAGGGAGAAAAGCAACACTAGCCATCACTTTCTGTCCTGTTCTAGTAAAATTTACTAAATTCAGATTTATTGAGATGACTGTTATGCATTAGTAAAGTCTGAAGTACAGGATAGTTTAAGGACTTGTTTGTTCCATTCAAATACAATAAATCTACATAACAAAGAGCTGAGGCAAACAAAATGATTTAGTTGGGAATGACTGACATAACTTTTAAAACTTTTTATTTTTGAATACTTTCAAATTTACATTAAATTTTCAAGAATAGTACAAAACTCCTATGTATCCTTTACAGACACCAATTTTTAACACCTTTCCTATCAGTTAGTAGAGAATGCATACAAGTAAAATGGACCATTACTAGTATAAAACGATGTGTTAAAAACTCTGTTATAGGGGGATTGTAGGATGCTCTGGGACACTTAGGAGAGAGACTTAAGCCTGATTTGGGGTTCAGGAAGGTTGAGCCTGTAATTTTACACGGGATAGTCACTGAGAAAGAGGACCTGAGGAGGGGTGAGAGTGAACACTGTAGCTGTCTCAGGGAAGAGCAATCAGGCAGTGGGAACAACAAAGGCAAAGGCTCCAGCGATGTGGAGAGTCTGGTGTGTTAAGTAGGAAGGAGGCCAGAGTAGCCAGAGAGGAGCGAGCAAGGGGAGTGCAGTGGGAAAGGAGATCAGAGCACTACAAAGAGCTGACGGTATACAGCCTTGTAGACCACACCAAGGACATGAAGGCCACTAGAGCAGTGCTGACCAGCAGACATACAATGTGAGCCACAAACATAATTTAAATTGTCTAATAACCATATTTCTTAAAAAGGAAAACAGCAGATAGAGAAAACTAAGATGGCGGCAGAGATAAACACCGGGAAATTAATGCCGCTCACAACAATTGATTAATACCTCAGAGAAACAATACGGACTTCATCCAGAACCATAGGAAGCCTGGCTGACTGTAAACTC